AAGTAAGAAGAGAGAGAGAAGAGAGAGAGAGAGAGAAACGATATTTTATTAGAAATAAAGTTCTCATTCTTTTTATAATAATAGTAAAATTTTATCGCGAGTGTCGATAACACTTGTACATGCAGAATTCTATATATAATTTAACAAATCCAATATTATATTACAAAAGAAATATCTAGACTGCAAGTACACCATGTATATTATAATCTAAAATTACTTTTATATAAATATATAGCATTTTGATAAATAATTTTAGAAATGTTTAATTTTTATATTTTTATAATATATGTTCTTTTTAGTTCGAAGAAGTAATTATTTTCTATTTTTGGCTAAAAAACAACTTTAGAGAGAAATTTCTGAATCAATACGTGGCATTGAAAAATAAAAAGCTGTTCGAGACAACCTCACCCAACTGCTTATCTTCAATTGTCCGGCTGATAAGCATGCCACTTGCTACGAATACGGTTCTTTGCGGGACTTTGCTTTAGATTAGTGTTGTCAAGACTTGAATATTCGGAAGATATTCCAAGACATTCTATAAATCACATCGAGATATAAATTTCTTAGTTCGTTTTAACAGGGATTACTCAAGGGATGGTTGTTTATCGAATTGCTCGTTCGCTTGTGACAACCAAGAGATACGTCTTACATCCGGAGAAACTTTCCGGAGAAATTGAATTTATCGCGGATAAACAAAAATGCATTCGATCAATTTTGTTTTTGCGATTACGAAATAAATTTATCCCCTTGCAATTTCCGACAGATTGAAGTTTGCGTTTTCGTTTTTCAAAGATTTAACGAGAAGAAAAACATTAAATTTGCGTAAAGACCGAGGAAAACGCTGAAATCTTTGTACACAATTTAATGCGACAGATATACGATGACGCAGCTCTATCACGTGCACACGGTTCGGATGACACGAGTCTCTTGAAAGGATAAGAGTGGACAATGATATCCGTCGTCTTTTATCCGCGTTCACTTTCAAGAAGTCGTGCGAAATTTTTTTACAATAGAAAAAAAAAGATCAAATTACCATCCTAACGCTGTAAATCACTGAGCGTCAAACCAGAGGACTCGTTACAAAATTCTGCATAAAAATTTCGGGTCTCTTTTCAGACCCGTAGGTAGTAGACAGTGGACATGTATATCGAACACGTTCGTTCGCCGTGCGAAACGTGAGGAGCGTCACTCGCGCGCGCTTCCACCTCTAGGAGGCAGAGGCCCAGCGGGGTAGAAAGGAAGGAAGAGACGCCGACTTTATAACAAGTTCGAATTCCCACAGCGGCGTAGGCACACCTACGCCTGGCTCGACACGACGAAACTGGGCGGTTGAAGAAGAAGAAGAAGAAGAAGAAGAAAAAGAAGAAGAAGAAGAGAAAAAGAGGAAGAGGAAAAAGAAGAAAGAGATGAAGAAGGCAATGCAAAGTAAAAGAGATCAAAAAGATTACCATATGAACGTTGGAGAGGCCGACCGGGTCGCTCTGCTTCTTGTCCGTCTTCTTGGCCTGCCGCTTCGCCTTGCTCTCGAGGAAGCGCTGCTTCAATACCAAGGTGTCCTGTATATTCTGTTCGCATAATCCGTTGAAGCTCTGATCGAACCTGGGGATGCAATCGGTCTGCCTACGCCGATAGCTCTCGATCCGTCGTCGCAGGCGGTCCACGACCGCCTGCCTCTTCGGGGTGAGCATCTCACCCATGCCGGGTGCTTGGCCCATTTGCTGCTGTTGCTGCTGGTGCTGTTGCTGCTGCTGTTGATGCTGCTGTTGCTGCAGGTGCAACTGCTGCTGGCTGGTTATGCCCAGCTGACCGGCGTTCAATTCGTGGATCGCGGCCGCGGATTGGCCGAGGACGTTGCCGGCGTGCCCGTTCGGGCCCTGGCCCGCGCACACGGATATCGTGCCGGGGGGGCCTTGCGGGGGCTGACGGGGCAGGAGCCCCCCGGCCTCCATACAGCCCCCTAAATCCACCGCAGGATAAGCCAGTTCTCAATGGTTGCCACCGAGGTGGTCGATCGTAACGCGTGATGCCGACCGCGCGGCCACGTCGTCCTCTACCACCGGCTTAGCCGTCGTCTGCGTGACGCGCATCCTCCGCATCCACCCCGCTGGCGTGTCGATATGCGTGTCCGATTTCCAGATTCCGCGGGGGCGCATCTGGCCGCGCGTGTGACGTTTCCGCGAGGCCCCCGGGGGGCCGAGCTTGACCGCGGTCAAGATCGACCGCGGACGCTTTCCTCTCGCGAGAGAACGATACTAGCTCGCTCTTATACGGAGTAAACAACGCGGAGATATCCGTTACCGTTACCCTCTCGTGGCCACGCTCTTCTCACAAGCTCGCCCCGCGATGCAGAAGATGCTCCCGTTGATATTCCGACAACCGGCCGGGCTTACACGTACTACACAACAACACAACACACACAATGCGCGTGTGCGCGCGCGTACAACGAAGCGCGCCAACTTCAGCCGACGTAATGCGATGCCACCGGCGCGCGCGGCGTCGACGCGACAGACTCGTCAATGAACGCGGCCGCGTTCCGCCTTTTGTTTCCCGATCCACGTGACCGAGCGCACGATAGTGCGCGCGTCGTCGCACGCAGCTCGCTTTCTTTCCCTTTCTCACTCTTTCTCTCCGAACTGCTCCTCTTTCTCGTAGACTTCAAAACAGCGCGATGATCGCAGCTATGTTCGACGCTGCGCGTTCGCAGTCACATTCATAGCGAATATCCGTGACGCTATGCGCCACAACGAACGAGCAAATCAATTCAAAATGCTAGGCTCGTAGGTTAGAGACTCCGGATTTTCACTGACGGCGTTCTCGACATAAAGAAAAATGTTCCTCTTACCAGTCCCGATATGCAGTAACATCGAGTCCCGCGGAGCGTAGCTTTAAATATCGATGGCGAACTCTCGATGACGCTCGCGACTGTCACTCTTGGCAATGCGCGCAACGGAAGATTCGACGACGGTGGGACGGAAGGTTCGCCGCGCGCGACTAACTTCACGATAAGAGCTCGCCCGAGTCCTTTCTCTCGCGCGCACCTTCTCTCTCCATCTTACGGACGCGTGCTGTCCTCCTCGCTCTCTCTCTCTCTCTCGCTCCCTCTTTCTCTCTCGCTCCCGCTATCTCACTTCTACGCCTCTCACTTCCTCGCGCGCTGCCTCGTCACAGCGGTGCTGCTGGCCCGCTGGTGATGGAGGGGTGGCAGAGAACTCGCGAGCATACACACAAGCCTTTCGCTCACACAATCGGAGACCTCCCTCACCCGCGGTGGTCGTCCACGGTGCCGCGCGGATCCTCCTCGAAACTTTCCTGACAGATTCGCGCCTTCTCGACGTAATCGTCTCCCCGCGATCGATCGCGTATATATTATAATCGCATCTCGCACCGAATGATCACCGTTGGTCGGAGGGAACACACTGAGTAAATGTCGACACGACACTGGGTATTTACGGCAGATTTGCCCGATGCGTCGAGCGCGCTGGACGTCACAACAGGTAGTTGAGCGAGGGCAGCGTGCTGAGCGTGCTGCCGCTTGTGTCCGGAGAAAGAGAAGAAAAGAGAGCGGGTGGGAGCGAGAGGTCGTCAAACGGCACCGGCGCGCGCGAGAGAGAAGCCGCACGTCGGACAGACCGAGACGGGAACGCACGTAGGCACGCGGCGGCGGGTTGGAGGGGTCGGGGGACGAAGGCGTGCGCGCGAGCCAAGGAGAGCGGAGACGGCTGCGGGACAGAGAAGGAACGCGGAGAGGGACGCGAGGGGATGATACGGTGGCAGGGTAGGAGAAAGGGAAGAGCGGTTTCAACGTTCGCGGCACGAGTTCCTCCCGCGCGCATTCGCCGCGCGAGCCGCAGTTTCGAGTTTGCCACTCGCGCGCGAAAAGGCAAACGAAAAATTTGCACGCAACTTTCCTCTGTCTGTTTACTTCTCTCGCTCTCTTTCTCTCGGCGATTTATCTTCTTTCTTTCGTATATCCTCTTGGCACTCCATGTCGCGGTATCTTCTCAGTGCCGCACTATCAATCTTCTCTGTCACTATCTCGAGATCGCGATCGCTCCAATTTTCAATATTTCGGAGCGAAGATCGCCGCAAACGCGCACGTCCGCGGAAAACGTTCCGCGATTCATCGCGATGGGGGGAGAGGAAGTCGTTCCTCCTCGCGTTCCAAACTCGCTTCCACGGTGAATCCGCGCGACTCGCGATTTGCCGAGTCGGATCTGCGCGCAACTTCACGCGCAACGCGATCTCCCGTCGCGCACTCTGGACCGCGCACGGCGCGCGGATGTTCGTTCACTGAGCGACAGCGACCGAGCTAGAGCTCGAGCGGCCCGATCTGCGCGACGAGCCATATGTCGTCGACCGCGTCGTCATCGTGCGGCGCCGCGCGTGGTGATCGTACCCCAAACAATTATATAACCTCACTTTTATTCGCTGCCCCGCGATCGCGACACACACGCGTGCGCGCGCGCGCGCACTCGCGCGCCCGTTCGCTCTGTCGCCGCTTACGATGCGCGCGGCACGGCGGCGGCGGCGGCGGCGGCGACGGCGGCGGCGGCGACGTCGCGGATCGACGTGAGATAATTGTCCGTTAATTCTTCTCTTTCTCTCTCTCTCTCTCTCCTTCGCTCGGTTTCTATCGCGCGGATGCTCGCGCGCGATCGCACCCGGCGACGAAACGTAGACGCGTAATGACCGCGCTTCGGGATCACTCCTAGCGAACGCGCGATGCCATTAACAGAACTGCGCGTAGGGTAGAATGGGGGAGGGGCCCGTTCAAACGGCGAACCGTAATTACTGCCGCCGCGACGAGGCCGCACTCTGGTGGCGACGCGAGAAACCGCCAAGTGGTGTTGATCCGCCGATCGACTTCGCCCAACGTGGCGTCATCATTCAATGGAGGTCGATATTACGAGCGGCCATCGCGTGTCGATAAAAACGGTGAGAATCGTGCTAGAATCCTGTTAGTTTTCGAACACTTTGAATCAGTCGTATAGGTTAGATTATTACGGAGTTTAAATGTCGTAAAAAGAATTTACAATCTTTTTTCAAGCTATTTTTTAAACTTGTTGCTTGTAATATAATGTGTTACATGTGTAGTAAGAACACATGAACCGATACGCAACAAGTTATTTCAGTGAGACATACGAATCGATTGATTACAATAACGTGATTGGAAAGCTCGAATCTAAAACTCGCACAAATACTCTGTCAACCCATCGAACGTCTTTACTTTTCAAAACTCGTCAAAAACTCGCCAACGTGGAAAATAGTAGGTTCAGATTAAAACGTTCCAATCTATTCGAAGCATGAATATGAAAAAAATAGTAATTAATTGTGAGAAATAAATATGAAGTGTGATTTTATAAACAATTTTTAGATAAAATATCCAAATGCTTGAAAATTATCTTTCAGGTAATATTCGTGATTAACTTTGGACGTGAGAAGAATGAGTTCGGGTAGAGCAATACTTAAAGCCAAATTGCCAGTGATACCAGGCACGAAACCTTCCTTAAGAAATTCACAGTTGCTTATTTCAACAGGAATACCTTCCTTGGATAACACAATAGGTGGAGGTTTACCTATTGGCTCAATATTTTTAATTGGTATATATTTGTATATTTTTTAAAATAATATTTAAACTATATATATTTTAAATAATTACTATCATATTTTAGCATATTTAATACTTTATTAATATATTTTATATGTCAATATCAAAATTGTTATTTTTTTCATATTGCTTTCATATTACTTTCTTTTAAAAATGTTATAATTTAGAGTAGAGAATCAGAAATTTTTTCTATTTGCTAGAACATTGTTATTATACTAGACAGCTAATAACAATTTATTGAGGCATTGAGGCCATCATCAAATTTAGCATATATGAAAATCATATATGGGATGTAAAATTTTAGACTTTTATACATTTTATATTTTATTTTATAATGTTTCATTGTGTCTTTACTACATAATATTTTGTATTCACATAAAATAATTATCATAGTAAACTTCTTTCATTTGTCATGCAAATAGAAATACAAGTAAAAATACATTTAATGATATGTTTATTTGCAGAGGAAGATAAATATGGCTTTAATGCTAAGGTTGTATTGAAATACTTTATAGCAGAAGGAGTAGTTGTGTCACAGCCTATACTAATTGCATCTCAAGATGCCGAATCTTCTCGATTTGCATCGAATTTACCTGAATTTATAGGTGATTCAGACCATTATGCAGAAACAACTCCACATAATACAGATGAAATACCAATGAAAATTGCTTGGCGATATCAGAATATGAAAACGGTAAATCCAATTCCACAAGGTCAAACATTCGGTCATTATTATGACCTCACGAAACGGATGCAGCCGGAACTTTTGGAACGTGCTGATATAAAACAGTGGCAATATAATGAAGAAATGACAGTAGATAAAAATAATAAATTTGAGAATGCTGCATATGCCGACTTGTTATATACTATAGAAAAAACATTACGCGAAGGACATTATTTTATTTCTGAAACATCAGATGAAAAAAAGATTTTAAGAATTGCAATTCATTCTGTCGGATCAAGACTGTGGCTTGCTGATACAGAGACTGGCTCAAATCGTGACTTATTAAAATTCTTATATTGCTTCAGATCACTTTTAAGGAATTCCTTTGCAGTCGGTGTAATAACAGTACCAGTTATTAATTTTGAAAACGCTGTAGGTATCGAAAACTTATTTTTGTTGACAATGATCCATCTTACAATCTGTATATATCTGTATATATATTTTCTAGGGTACTATTATTGAGAGAATCGAGCACTTGTCAGATATAGCAATCAGATTGGAATCATTTGCGGGATCACCAAAGAAATCAATCCATTATTTAAGGAATATCACGGTCTTTTGCATATTAAGAAATTGTGTGCGTTAAATGGTTTATCACATGGCGGAATACAATATAGAGATCTAGCATTTAAGTTACGTCGTAAAAAGTTCCTCATAGAGGTTGGTATATTTTCACGTCTTACATAGTTTTAAATTATTGAATATAAATTTTTTTATTATTTGTTATCAGGTTTTACACTTACCGCCCGAATTTGAGGATACAACACAGCGAGAGCAAGATGAAATAGAATCATCTACTATTGGATGTGCAAGTGGATCTCATATAAAGACATTCGACTTTTAACTTCATATATATTGTACGATTGAATTTTGTACAGATTTTAAATGTGATAAGTGAAATAGATATTTTTTATTTATTAATTAAATGTATATTTTTTATTGAAATAGTTGATCATTTCAATTATAATTTTCACTCTTTATACCTATCTCATTCTTTATAAAATATTCTAAATTTATTACTCAAAGATAGTATAGTTTGCGATTTTGCTTCTTATAAGCAAGTGGTAAACTGGAATTTTTACATACGCTTAGGTCACGCCTATCCCGTTTAACGGGAAGTGCATGGTGTGGCGGCTGAATTAATGTAGAGAAGAGGAGATAGGCTTCGTGCACACTTACAATAATGCGCACAAAGTATCTTTGCCGTGCCTGTATAGACTCAACCTACAAGTTCATTTACACTGTAGAAATACAACTTTTGATAAAAGATTCATATAATGAATATGGAATCTCCAGTATCATTTACCATCTAATTAATATTACATAAGAAAAACGAAACATCCATAACGGTATAACTCTTTGATAAATAGAAAATATTTTTGTATATGTGATATTTGTGTGTTTCATGATTCAGATTTTTGTTATGAACAATCGACATTACAAAAAAATGCCGTAGAATATCTTTAAGTTTTGTAAATGTATGATGATCTCTATTTTATTTTGCAATATATATTAACTTTTTAACAAAAACATAATTAAAATCTTTATAGATGTAAAAAACTGTAAGCTACTTTGTAGTATACTTATTATTTCTTAGATTAAGATACACAGAACACATTATTTTATAAAATAATTGATACATATTCTTTCTTATTAAAGCATTTCGAAATATGTTATATTGTCTTTAATGCCTCAAGTACTTTAGCGAGATTTTATAAGAAAGAAATTTATAAAACAGTTTACTATATGTACATATTTTGTTAGATGATGAAACAAGTCAGTCGTGCGTATATATAAAAAAATTTATATAAAAAAATAATATAAATTTAATATTTAATTGAAATAATAAATAGGACAATTTTAATATTTGACGATGACATAAAAGAAATAAATGTATTATTTATTAATACAAAAGCGCATTCTCCGATCAACGGAGTAGTCATCTGCCATCAGGAGTTCCCCTCGTCATTTGGTGAAGCTTCGACTCGAATTGTACACGAACCGATCGGCGTGCAAATACTCGTGTCATGTGTATGTATAGGTAAATTTTTCATTCCCCCTCCGATCCTTTTCCATCCACACCTTTCTACTTCCTTCCGGTTCCGTCCGGTCGGTCGCGCATGAGGGCACGCAAGCGCGCCTATAGACCCCCGATGCCGATGTAAAGTCCATCCACCGCGCACGGGGGGTTTTCAGTCCGTGAACATACGCGATCAGGTCCGCCTCGAAAACCGAGTTTGTAATACACAGTGATCCGCTTTCAAATGATTTAATTGTGCAAAATCGAATTATCATGCCGCGCACCGAGTGCGATCGTCAGTATCTCATGTGATGAAAATTATTTGCAAATTATTAATTACATTAACAAGCGAATACGTCGAGCGTAAGGATGGGAACTAGAAGATTGGCTATGTCGCGCGCTTTTGTTTGTTGCTCGAATATAATCTTCTTGGTGAGTTATCGACTATTTATTTTAAATACAGTTTTAATTTAAAGATGTACTAACCAAAAGTTATTGAAATTTAAAAGAACGTGTTTGCAATTAACATTTTTCCTGATAAATAACAAAAATTTTGAGTTATAAACACATTTCCTAAAATTTATTGCAAAAGACAATAATTAATAGAAAAATTTTTAATTATAGATATCGAATAACTTAAACATATAAAATGTAAATAATGAATGTACATAATTAAGTATATGAAATTAATAATTTTTAAAAATTAAATAATTTCCAGAGCACCGAAAGTTGTGCTCACTTTTTACGCAAAGAAAGTAGAACAGTTTAATTTTTACATTTTTCTCTTGTTTAGCTAACTATTGAAATAGAGTATATAACATTAATATAATATAAATTGGATCAATATTGTCTGATTTTAATATAATATGATTATCGTAAGTTATTTGAAAACAGAAATCGATAAAATTTGTAATAAAATTCTACATTTCCTTCCCTCTCTCTTTCAGATGTCAGGTTTTGTGTTGATGTCACTAGGAGGATTACTGTTAGCCGACAATGAACGGATTTTATTATCACGTCTGCTCGGACCTGGTGACATTCACCCCGATCAACCACTTTTTTATTATTTGGCTTTCGCTATAGTCGCACTAGGATTTCTTATCGCCATCACCGGGCTTCTCGGATGCTGGGCGGCTTGCCTTTTTAATCGTTGCATTACGATTTCTGTAAGATTTTTTTAAATATATTTTAATATATTAAATATTACATATTTAACATATTAAATATTTATGTATTTTAAATATTTTAAGAACAGTTTACATGTACTTAACAATTGTTAATAATTTTTAAAAACAATTTATTATATTTTTTATTATATTGATATTTAGAAGTAGAATATATATATATATATATATACAGAATTTGTTATTTAGAACGTGATCAAAAATCTATGTCTGAAATTTCTTTTAATAACAATCTTGAGATATGAATTATTGAAATAGATAAAAATAGTTTATATCATAATATTGATATCTCCTAATTTAAATAAAAAAGAATTGTTTATTTAAAACATTCAAAGCCTTTGTCTAGCCTGTGTATCGCGAGTATATGACACGTGTTCGAATGCGTCAATCAAGCGTGTTTCACGCGCAGCGTTTTCTAGTAAATTCACTACTAGTGTTGTTGGCTCGTCGAGCCTATTTGAAACACCAGATTTCCTACTTCGGGTTCGGTCATGCATCGTTGCCCGGAAACGGATCTGCTTGTATACAGATACGCGCGTAAATAAAAGGAGGGCGCGTTCGAGCGCCGCCGTAAAAACTCTAATTATCCGCTCGTGGCTCGAGCGAGCAAGAGTTAAGTTCGCCGAGAGAATAAATTATCATCTTTTTCGTTTTGCCATTTTTAACGCCATATTTAAACGTCAATCGTCAAACATATCGTCAAATTAGACACAAAGAGGAATATATTATTATTATTTTAAGCAATATTAAATTAATGAATCGATAAACTAAGCTAAATAAGAAGAATATGCAAATAAGCGTATGTTATAAAACGTACAAAATTACGAATTGGCATTGCCTGGATTAGGATTAATTTTCTGTTTGATTTTTTAAAAATATTTTTCAGTATCTCTTAACAATAATCTTGCTACTGCTTGGTGAATGCACTGTATGCATCATTGCCGTTTTTTGGCCTCATATACTCGGGATCGACGTGAGACCAGCACGTTTGATACGCGCTTTGCAACGCAGTTACGCTGTACCTGGCCGCGAACAATTCACGGCAGCCCTTGATCTTGCGCAAACAACAGTAAGTTTACACATCCAATTAAAATATAAAAATATATATCTTTAATATATCTTAAAATATATATCTTACGTTAACATATTCATTTTCTAATTTGTAATTAAATCGATTAGAGTAGCCTAAATGTAAAAATTTTCTTACAAATTAAATGTGAATTTTAATAAGTAAAATCGTACGAATTATATTATATATTATATATTATATACGCTTCATATGACTTGTTGATTGTTTTTATTACAACATTATTATACATAATTGAGGCGCTACTTGTGTACAAATTTCTAGTTGCCGGTACGACTTTTTTCTCTGGGTGTGTGAACACTTTCATCGTTTCCGTTTTGATCACTTACAGTTCGTCTGTTGCGGCATAAACGGAAGCAGCAATTACGGCACGTCCTGGTGGCGGCTGCAGGAAGTCGGTCGCAGAGAATTAGTGGTACCTCTCAGTTGTTGCACCCTGAATAACGCCAATGAGACGGGCTCTTTCCTCAACCCCGAACCTGCCAATCTCACTCTCTGCCAGGCTCTGAACCCTGCCGAACATCAATACGCCCGACACACTGTGGTATGCGCGATAATGAGGAAGTTATTACCTCTTTCGCTGTGCCGTGCCGTGCCGTGCGGACGCGTGCGAAACGAACTTTCCGAATCGGCTCGCATTGAAGCAAATGCGGAGGCGTTGTCATGTCAAATGGAAAATAAATACATCTTAAACGTAGCATGTCGACATTCGCATAACTCTACGATTTTATTTTATGAGAATGAATTTGTTTATCACGGTCGAGAACACGCTCCTTGCGTGAATATAAACATGATGTTGCAAATGATTTTTGGAAAAAAAAAAAGGAAACTCTAGTTTCTACTTTTTCCGAAAAACTATCTATTCGAATAGAGAGACATGTGGTATTTTGCACTTCGATTTTTCGCGCTTTGTTTGAAAGTTTGCGATAAAGCCGGCATGTCCTCGTATGCGAATACTAAAAAAGAGAATGGCGTGTCGTTAATGGCTTTTGTCTCGCCCGACCCCCATAACAAGATTGGAAGAGAATTTATCAAAATGCGGGTAGTTGGCAATGGCGTCATATTGTTACGATCTTACTTCAACACTATTGTTTTGCTATGCATTAATATTGAATATTGAAAGTTACATATACCATTTTTTTTTGTTTTACATTTAGGGTTGCCTCGAATATATCGAAAAATGGACACAAGATCAGGCCTTGATCTTGTTGGGTATCGTATTAGCCATCATGTTCGTCGAAGTCACGGCGCTCCTCAGCATACTTCTCGCTTGCTCTCGAGAGAACAAGAGAAGTAAATCGCAAACGTCGACTTTCACCTCCACACAGACTTTAAGCCCGTTCGCCGAGAGTGATCACGATTATAGTAAGAAGGATCTTTATTCTGAATTACAATTTTAGATCTCATCTTTAATACATTTAATTTCACGGCAAAGAAAACATCCTTATTTTTTACTTTAAAATATTTGGAATTATTATTATCTATTATTTAATTTAATCGTGACCAATTTGATTATAGGCATAGGAATTGAGAACAGAATGCACACGGCCGGAACGACGTTTGGTGCCAAATCATGAAGATGGCTGGAGGGCAGCGAAGAGCGGACAGCAGTCGAGGAAATAAGCGCGAATAAGCGCGAAACATGCGACGATACTAAATATAGCGTATTAGCGACGAGCGGAAAGAGTATAATCGAGGAATGGCGAAATCCTCCCAAATATTCGGAAGATCTGCTGCGAGGCGATCAAACGTACGAGGAGCGAGCGGTCGACGTTGTGATCGACAATCGTCCTCCGGATTTTCTTAAAAGACACGCACAGTGCGCGCAGTTAAAGACCGACAATGCGAATACGAATAACAATGATGACAAATTGATTAAGATCAAAAGACCTCAGGGCGGCGGCACAGTTAGAAGCATTCCCATTAAAGATTATCAGGCGTCGATCGCGCATAACATCGGCACGTTGAGACGATCCATGGCACCTCAATCGCAATTCGAGTCTCTAGTCTCCGAACCCGAAAAGAGCGTTTACGTACCGTTAAGGAAGAAGAGAATTCCTATAATTAGCAGCTCGCATCACCGGTCCGCATCGCAGACCACGTGCCTCGTCGCGGAAGCCGGTAGCTTTCAGAAGAAATCGTCTTGTCGCTTTTGCGACAATCAGCAGAATCCGCGCGGTTTCTATTGCGCCGATCCGAACAAAAACGTCGAAGATATTCGACACTTGGACGAGACGGAGGACCGATATTGGTCGCGGGACGGTTCCGACATTGACGAATATTTCCACAAAAGTTTACATGAAAGATTCAAATCGGACGATCACAGAATTTTGAAACGCACGCGCGAGTCTTCGGAAAACGCAGGGACGGTAACGGCGGCCGGTACGAAAAACGAGAGAGTGACGGAAGAGGAGGCGAAGGCAGAGTTGCAATTGGCAGAGGGTCACGTCGGTCAGAAAATATCGGCTTACGAACAAAATGCTCGACGTAGCCTGCGTGATCCCGGTCCCAGGTATCGATCGCTCTTTGAGGTGAAGGGACACCGCACCATCGGTGTACCGTTGGTGGGTATGCACAACGCCTGCGGCTTACCCGTCGTGGCTTCCTGGCACGATCGCGAGCTTCTGGATTCTCTGCGTATTAGCCGCAGGATCACGGGACCCATTTACAAGAGTCCTCGCACGATTCCAAACGTGCGACGTCGCACACAACCAAAGAGGAAGGCGCCGCAACCGGATCGGAGGATGGTCCATCCGAAGGACATCGGTGTTAAAAAATTGACGATCAAATCGACGGAGCATTTGGACGGTATTGACAGCGGTAGATCCAGGAGGAAGCATCGTCGCTCGTCGTTCACCACGACTAAAGTGGGATCGCTGTCCTCGAAAAATTCCTTTAAGAGGAAGATGCCTAGAAGATGCGGAATTAAAGCGAGTTCGTTGGTGGACACCTTCGGCAAGAGATCGATTAAAGAAGGAAGCGCGAAACGAACGACTCTGTATGCGAAAGATGATGGGGAGGAGCCGGTACAAGTTCTCAAGAGTTTATGCTTGAATCCTCTAGCGCGTGCCAATCCGGAAACGGACATGATGTGGTGAAGCGAGGACTCGTCGAAATTAATGTATCTGCTTGTTTGCTCTTACCGATTAATGCATTTATACCTTATTAAGTTATTTAAAAGATAAAAGAGAATTAATTATGCGTCAGAGATCATTTGCTTCTATCTAAGTTAAAGTTGAACACACTTTGAAAAATGACAAAATATAAAGTAAGCTTTTCGTACGTTAGTATTTCAATCAATTATCTCTATATTCCACTTTTCGTACGAATGAATTAATTACACCGTGTGATTTATCGTGTAAATATATATTTCATACGTTATCGAATTGAATTTTATACTTGAAGATTTATAATAAACGGAATCCTTTGCTGCCCTCATTAAAGTAACGTTGTATTATTTTTATTAAATATCATGATGTATTTATATTTCTTTTATAATATTGGTTTTGTTAATTCTTATACTAATAAAGTTAAGTATGTCGCGACCGTTGTAGCAATCTGAAATGTAATAAGAATTTATGAAATGACATTTCTAAGTAATGGCACGAGGAATAAATCGATTTTACCGGAAGTAATATCGTCAGATCCAATACAAAGAATTCCGCGGCCGTGAAAGCATATCTTCTATGATAAAAATATAACATCATCTCGATTTTGTCCTGCAACCAATTACTCCTGTCAAATCATATTTACAATCTCATTAAAAAAAATTTAAGGCCACTTACCATACGATATTTTTTGTTTGAGAAGGGTAATCCATATTGTATTACACGCCTTTCAACTCGATTTGCCTGGAATAATAGTAAATAATACACTACAAACAAAGGCCATGAATAAGTTCATTGGAACGTTCTGTTCTAAAGAAGATATCGGATAATTAAATGTTTTAACAAATACAGAAAACGCTGTCAAAGTGTATTAAAGCTAGCAATTTTTACCTCATAGGTCGCAAAGTGATACATTGCGAATAAGAAAATGATTTGAAAGAGCAGGTCCATCAGTATCACGGGACCGTCTTTCTGCGCTTTTGTTAAGAACGCATATAAAACAGAAATACATTCTAGCAATATGGACCCGAAGGTGAACAAGGTGCCTATCCCGTATAATTTGTTTATCAGATCGGCGCTGTCGAGAAGCACGCCGTGCAAATAACGCACTTGGTAAACTGTGATTTCGCCCTGCAATCCAGTCACCGGTAATGGCGATACTTGAGGGACTATTATCTCGTTTAGATGACGAAAACGTTGGCGAATCAAATCCAAAAATATGCACGTTATAAAGACACAATAGGTGCCAACGACAGTAGGAATCGTTTCATGCAACACCGTCGTTACTATCAATATTATTTCGCTGAACATAATGTCATTGAAATTGAAATACGACTTGAACAGTATTGTCGTAAGCGTGTACATGAAGTACAGATATATGAATATGTGTTTGTCCTTCCTTTGATATCCCAATGCTGCCGCCTGCTCGTCGTATGTTAAAAGTTTATTGGAGAACTGCAACGACACACACAAGCAAGATTCAATGTAATAATTTACTTACGATTTAAATCTGAATATTATTTATTTTATAAATAATTTTTATAAATAATTTTCTGCTGTTATTGGAAGAATATATATCATGATATATTTTATTATAATCTTATTATAATTTTTTATATTTTTTTTATTTGTTATTAATTTTTATATAATCTTTTATACTTTTTATTTTATAATCTTATTACATATATTTTTTTATATTTTATACTTTTATTTATTTTATTATAAAATAAGATTATCGATAATACCTTCACAAAATCTTTATTCCGAAAGGCAGCCACGAAATGATAAGGAAGCAACGAGACGGTAAACGCACTAAATCGCACGATGGAAAGTACAAAACCATTTTGATTTTTTACATCAGGTGGTGCGATGTACGACAAGTGATAGAATACACTCGTGTACCAGCAATGAAACAAGAACCATAACATACAGAAACAACAATTCCATTTACTACCTGGTTTAAATTGACCGTTCACCAATTTGCACGAGACTAGTCCCAATATTTTGTTGAGCATTATTGTGAGTCTTAAATTTTGAAAAGGCATTCTTTACGGCGTTGATATTGTATAATTTTATCGCGAGAAAAAAAGAAATTTTTGCTTTTGACAAAAATAAATTCTTAAGCAAAGGTTAATTCGAACAACGTCTGAACGACAACCTCTGTCACGCCATGCGACTGAATTCTATATAATCGACTTTGATTTTTTTAGTCCTTTTTACACTCTCCTGTGTCGAATCGCGTTCCGCCATTATGCACACGTATTATTCACCGATGTGCTAGCTAGCTTGATAGAAGAGGGAGATTAGAATCGTGATAAAACACTGACACAATCGTGTCAGTGACGATCGAATCACACGTGTATAACGTTGCAGATCCATTTGCGACATGTCAACTAATAAAAAAAATGACAACGGTCTACCTAAAGATACATTTCGCGTGTTACAGTCACCGTTCCACATCGAATCACGCGACGTATAAAAGTCGATAAAATATCGTGATTTGTTACACGAATATGCATTAAATTTGTATGTCACAGAGATATTATATCGATTCGGTTATTATATTGTGGATTAATAATTAAACATAATAATAATTAAACATATTACACACGTTTGCACAATTGCCATACGTGTCTACACGTGAGATAATCGCTTTTATTAAAACAATTATATTTGCTTTATAAAAACATATACGGTGTTTTTGCAAACATCATTATGTCAATATTATGATATAAGTAGTCAGTGTAGCAATTATCTGAAAATAATACAATACGAAAAATTAAATATTAAAAATGCAGGAAGCATCTCTTTTAAAATTATCAGCTCTGCAGATTACAGTCTTCTAGTAAGCATTTACAAAATGGAGAATTACTTACAGATTGAAATAGAGGTAAATTGATTGCAAAATATCCTGCCGCGTCGAAGGACACACGATTATGTAAGAAATACATTAAAACGTCAATTTTAACCTAAAACCAGGAAGCAGATTAAAATCATATAAAAAGATTTGTTTTTATTAGATTAATTTCGTTGTTTACCGTTGTTTTTCCCGAATTAACAAGAGCGGTCATTCTATTGCTTAAAATAATCGCGATGTTATTTGCCTGAAAATATGTGATTCATATGATGAATAATGAATTTCTCTCATTGATATAAATAAAAAAACTAAATAAATTTTATAAATAATAGAAATTGAAAATTTCGCACCTCTTCCGCTGTCCAATGACAAATTGTGCACATAAATAACATTAGCATTATCGAAGGACCGATAAAAGAGAAGGCTGTCAATGCGTTTGCCAATCGAAAAATAAATATATTTGCAATGATGCGCATCATGAGAGATGCAAACATTAAAAATAGAGGGATACTATAAATATCATTAAAGATTCTATGAGCATCGTAAAGTAACGAATGCATAATTTTCACGTTCATTATTTTTATTGTGTTTGGTCCACGTCGCTCTTCGGTCCATGACACATTCGGCGCTATTTTCTTGTTCAAATGTTTGAAGCGTTCAAGAATAAGATATAACAAGAGAAACATTTGCAAGAAACTGCACACAAGCATTATAAATATATGAACGTCCGTAATCAATGTGAAAATTACTGACAGTTCGCTTATGGTCAATTTTGCTATCGTATGTATAATTAACAGAATGATAACGATCATGAAAAACGTCATGCTCCAAGGTACCCATAAACTGTCTTTTCTTTTATTTTTCATTCGTACGGCTTCGTAGTCGTAACTGTCTAGCCGATCGAAAAACTGTTATAAAGATAAATATTAGAAAGAGAAAAGGAGAAACACTGCTTATCATTCGCAATAAGAACTTAATATCTTCCTCACCTTGATGAAGTGATTTTGATAAAAATATGCAGTAATGACATTAATACAGAGATATGTATATCCTACAAACTGTTTAAAGTAAAATCCCGTTAGTCTTATTGAACCTGATTTCATTATCATATAAACATACGTCGTATATAATGAAAATGAGATGAAGGAACTTATCCATAAGGCACCGATACTGTAAATGGGCCAAGAGCAACGCTTCAGCCGACCTGCCGTGAGCTCATTGACAAACAGTCCACACAGTTTAAAAAAAAATAAAAATAACCTTATGCGCTCCGCGCAGGTTTTGTCAGAAGCAAAACGCTGTTTTTGTACGCGCCGTTTAAATTTGCGTTGCTTTAATATGCGCATGCCTTCGGAGAGAAATCTTTCGTTTCTTGCAAACATCTCCCGCAAACGTCAAATAAACATTTGATATTCGATTAATTAAGAAAATATGTTATGTTTCGAATGTTATTTAATATGCCGCTCGAAAAAAAATATGCGCTGTTGCGCTCAAACACACTTGTAAACTGTTACGCGGTCCGCAGAAAACTATCTACGTTCAATTGTACACCCTCACGCGCACTGATATCTTCACGACATCACACCCCTAACGATATTAAATAATACATTGAAGAGAGGAAAAAGGAAACACAAATTATTTTTAGTATGATCGCGTTCGTACAATTTGCTGTTTATAAAATTGTTGCAACAAGAAATAAGTTTGTTTCTCGAGTTAAATCGACTTGATAACGATACGAAAAATCAATTTTTATAAATATATAGTTTCAAGCAAATTATTATTTACAAATTTTTATGAGATATAAATATATATATATATAAATAAATAAATTTATATATGTAGTTATGTATGATATAAAAAATAATTGATAAAGGATTGTATAAATCGCACTACACGTAAGTTATTTCTTTAAGTGAAGTTTTCAAAGTCGGTAAGTTACCATTTACGTGAACACACTGTTCTATATCGACTATCGAGATCGCCTCAGCTTGCTATACTTTCCAGATTAGAAGGTTGCTGATAGTTGGCGTTATTAGGTAAAAACGCCTGAAATTATGGCAATACGTCATATTTGCAAAGTTGCATTAATCTTTAGAAATAATTGACCCTATTGGATAGATATTATCTACATGAAATTTTAATAATTAAAAAATATTATTAAGTATCTAGTGTCAAATATATTATAATGTACATATATTTAGATGTTATTTATTATGTATAAATATTACTAATCAGAACTATTGTTTTATATTTTTTAGTAACAAATAATTATGGAAAATTAATATTAAATAACAATAACACAATTCCTAATTAATTCCTAATTAATAATAAATTATAATAATTAGAGTAAAGAAATGGAAATAGCGCGCTATTCCCATTGCTCTATTTCTTTATTATGAACAATTATTTTCCTAAAAAAATATATACATACATATAATATTTTTTAATGTACATACATTTTATCGAAATTATATATATTATATTTATAAACATAATTATGTAATCTTAATATAAGTCTTTAGAAATAAATTTATGCACGTATCACATTACACAACACTTTGCCAATTTAACGAAATATAATAGAAAGATAACAAAAAAGAATTTTAATTTATTCTCTTTTGTACACTTTATCATGTATATTATATCCTATATTATTGGCACAGAATGGCAGTAAGAATGTGCAATAGCTTCGACAAAAATTATACTCCAAATAGAATAAATAAAAAATTCAGTCCCCTCTTTCTCTCTCTTTCTCTTTTCTTTTTTTCTTTACGACGAAGCGTTTAAATGTAAGATTTGAAAATCTTGTCCCCGGATGAGTGGTTGTTCGGGGGGTAGTCGATACATTCTTATTTCCATACAAAGCCTTTCAATTTCCCTACTGAGCCTTTGATATTTTGCAGGACGAGGGTCCCTTTGCTCACATCGCGACTTCGATCCCTCCCTCGTTCCCATTGATCCTGGCCCAGCTTTCCTTTTCGCGCGTAGAAATTATGTAAACTGCCACAATATAAATATGTATGTCTATGTGCTTAGTGATCGAAAATTCATAGAGGCTTAGACTTGTGATCGCGGCCATTGACCCTTTGTAAAGGGCGCAGGACGCGCTACGTCCGCTCGCTAATTAATTATTTGGCGTTTTGTGTATGTGACAGCTGGAAAAATCTTTTCTTTTTACCTCGGTGCAGAGCTTCGCGGCACGAAGCGCTTCTCTGAAACTTAACGCGAAGTACTGAAACTTAACTCGTGCAGAAAATTCGATGCGCAGCGCGGTCCGATCGTGCGCCGGTCGGAATTTAAAGCAGAGATTCGTCTCGATAACCACCGAAAGGACTCTCTCGGATGTGAAATTTCTTTCTCGCGGCCGTGATATCTCTTTCGAGAAGCCACGGCAGCGTGAAGGCACAATGATCTCCCTCCAGATTGTCAAACGCGACGTCGTTTAGTCGCGGGCACTTTGCAATGATATATCGTTTCGTCTCATGAAGAGGTAGCCGCAGTCCGGGGTATTGTAACTATTTGCAAGAACATGACCAGCAGCGTGGTTCGACACACATTAGATAATTCGTTCCACGGACACTTCTTACTTTTCGTCGGAACCCTTTTTTTGAAATTCATCAATAAAAGAGGGCACTAACTTCCGATTCTCAATGGAGACGTTACAGATTGTCATTATGTCCGAGAAACGACGTATTAGGTCAATCTTTTTGTAAAAGATTTTTAGAAGATGCGTCTCTTACTTTCCGAGAAGAATGCTGAGGAATACGACAAAATTTTTTTAACACTCGATTATTTGCGAGAAATTGTATTTAAATTTCATAATGAAACATTAAAATGACAAAATCAATAAACAACTATTAAATTTAGAGAAAAAAACAGACTTTTTTGCATTCATATGGAAAAAAATTAGAAACTTTGATAATATTGCATTTTAATTTTCAAAGTTCAAAATTTTCAAAGACAAAAATAAAATTTAATTGGTATTATTTTTTTTTATAACACAGCACAGTTTCTTCTTGAAAAATTTTTTTTTTTATTTCTATTTTCTTTCGACAAATAATATCAGAAGAAGCAGAAGCAGCATTGCACAATTCTGACACATATTGATGGTGATCTTTGGAATTATTAAGCTCTACGTGGTGCCATTCGATGTGTCGTACGGTTTTTACGACCTTTAATTGATTCCTATTGCGTCGACACAACGGCGATAATGGATCCCAGGTCCCGTTGCATGGACCTGCGAATAAACGGTCGAGGGAAAAAGATTAATCGTGAGCGATGCAAATGACGAGTGGAGAGTCTGCGCCTGAATAAAAGCCCATTACGAGAATCTCTCGAAGAAACTCCTCGATCGCGCGAGGAAGGGCTGTAAGAAGGGAGTGGAGGACGACCGGAGGAACGAACGGAGTGACATTGTGTCAGTGAAAGTTGGGTGAAGTGACACTCGAGATAAATGTCCTGCTGGTGTTACACACCGGGAGATCTCCGAGACTCGTGGACTTCCACCGAACTTCATTTCTCCACGTGCTGCTCCGCTGGATGATCCACGTGATTTCCGTCACTCACGTTCTCCATGACGTCATATTCTTCATAATCGCCGGTGATGTTTTCAATAATTTCGAAGATTCTATACAGACTGGAGGAATGCTAATAATTTTCTCTTTTTCTCTTTCACTCGGGGGGGGGGGGGTTTTCTTCTACTTCTGCGGTAGATCGGACGTTTAACAATACGGTATCAATGATCTCCCGCGATTGGGGAGTTCGCGTTTACGACGCTTCGGCGAATGTTAAAGGCTTTTACCTTAACTCACCGAGAAATCGGGGATTATTAGAAAAACGACCGGGTTTTCTTCAACCCCGAACGACGATTCGCTTTCTCGCAACTGTCCAGTTGACCTAAATCTTGAAAACCGACAAACTGACAGACCGAACGGAATTCCACGCAGATGCGATGTTGCGCCATGGTACATAAATTTTCCTCTTCTGCCTATGCGCCCTTTGTTACCGTGTGTTTTTCCCTATCCCCTTTTACGAACGCGGTCGTGCATCCTTTAGACAAAGAATGACTACGCTTAACCAAGACATGGTACAGGCAAAAAAAAAATACTTAAGAAAATAATTAAAGGTCGAAGAGAAAACTTAGTCTGTAATTTTCGATTTTAGCGAAACGAACAAATGACTACGATCTCTTTCTTCCTTCTAATCGTTTTATCACTTTAACTATTCGATCCTAATGAAATCATCGTTTACCAACTAATTACTTTACAAAAAATAACTTTACAAAATTGTAAAACTTTTTATATTATTATCAACTAATTAATTATTACGTTCGCAATCTTTCAATGATTTATACATACTTTTGAGCTAGACGATTATTATATATAGAGATATCTCGTGAAAATATAAGAAAGCTTTTTCTCCTCTCGTAAGATTTTTTTATCTCACTTTTATACTTTTATTACCTTTTTGTCGTCCAGTCATTGACTTCTTACATTTTTAAAGCTAGTCATAGACCAACCTCATCGTAATTTTACGAGGATACACCTTTTTAAGCTTGAATTCATGAAATTTACGATGCTTTTACGGTAGTCTAAGAAATAAAAGAACCGCACAGAAGCCACATTACATTCTCAATACTCTTTCAGATAATCAAGTTAAAAGTCTTTTTTCATCACTGCTATACATTATGTTTATGAAGCAGCATCGCGAATAGTGAATTATTTAGGAATTAGTATTACTAGTATATAGTATATAGTATTATTTTTGTTTAAGGCTCCTGCTGGTTCTATCTGCGACGTCTTAAATTATGACGTTTAAACGAAAAAACACATGATAAACTTTCTTACAAAATAAAAAAAACTAAAATAGAATAAAAATAAAAATTAAAATAGAAATGTTTTTCGATAAAATTACCTTTTCGATAGATCGAATGAACCTTCTCGATAGAAGACAGATTTGTAAAATATATGAAAACTCCTCTTTCACTTCGTAGATCGAAATAATAATATATCTAGAATTTGTTTTTAATTCTGGCTGTCTGCTTGATTAAACATAATTTATTTTCAATATACGTGATTATTTATTAATTATTAAACTAGAATTTTCAATATATTTTTAACAATATATTTTTTAATATATTTTTAACAAGCTTATTTTATCGAGCGCAAATATCACCGGATCGAAAAACATTTCTTATTAACGCATTTTACAAGAATTTTTATTATGTATTTTTTCGCTGCTAATATAATTCAAGATAGCTACAGTAAATCAGCAGGAATCTTAATTTATCAGATTCTTAACTATGTTCACGAAAAGTTAAAGTAAAAGTTACTTTCTCGACGAATCCTCAGTTTGGAGGAAGAAATAAATACACCCAGGCATCCG